CGCTCCTTTCTTAGGGGAAACTCCTGAAGAGTTTCATGTTTCCATTTGACTTTCCTTACATGAAAAGACTGCTGCATATACTCATCACTGAAAGAATCTCTGATTAATTGCTGCAATCCTGTTCCACTTTTTCCACAGGAGCAAAATATTCCTTTTTAGAGAATTAACAAATAGTTGCTTTCTGAGAATCCTAAATTCTCCTGCATTTATGTTATTCATTAGTCATATGATGTCCCAAAGTTTTCTGTCTTTCTCCCTTTCTCATTAACCCTGGATCTGTAAGTGTTGATTTCTCCTTAAAGGGCAGAGCCCACCTGCCAAGCACAGCCTTCCTTGCAGCCTCAGAGGACAGGTAATGATCTCAATCTTCCTAATGAAAGGACTTAACTGGAAAAGTTTGTTGATTTGCTTTGAGGATTACTGACATATTCATCTGAGGAGCAGATCTTTATTTCCCATTTAGAGGCAGCAGCAGTGGTTGAATCTTAAAATATTTTGCTCTGGAATTTCTCAATGTGGCTTAACATCTGAGCTTCATGAGATTTTAAGAAATAGGTATGATGCAATGTGGTGCAAATTGTTCAAAACAATTCTCGACATTCATTGTGACAGGCTGGAATGCAAACACTGTGAGAAGTGCTCTTTACTGAAATCTCCATTGATCATGTTTTTCAACTTTTAAGCCAAAAGCACGGTCTTCTGCAGTTTCATCTTCCGTAAGTAATTGCTGAGAAAAAATAGTGGTGAGCAACACTTACCTCACTGTGTCCTACGAATAAAGTGGGTTAAAAACAAAAGCTGAACAGGAGTGATAGAAGTTATCCCTCTTCATCAAAAAATAGATAGGAAAGAAAAAATACACAAGTAATTTTTTTTTTAATAAAAGGGAAGGAAGCAGACACAGCAAAGATAGATCCTAGGGATGAGGGAGAGTTTTGTTAACAGTCTCTGATAGTATAGGAAGTCGAGCCGAGCCTGCATATGCCAGCCAGACTACAGATTTGGAGCAGTTCTACTGCATCTGATGGACACCAGCCTACCCAAAGTGCATGAGTACTATTTATATTAAACTTCACTGCTTCAATTCCTTAGCCTCTAAATGAGACTGTCTCCTTGATTTGGCTCCACAAGGAGGTATCTCCTGCTCCCATGCCTCACCTGGGAGGCCCCCATTTACTCGGATGATGTCACCTGGAGGAAGTGAGGAGTCTTGTAATCAAAGCACTCTCATCCGGTTTGTTGGTGAAAAGTAAACTGAACATGGAGAAATGGGACTGATAAAGGCAGTTGAGAGCAGCTCCCCATCGAAGCCATGGGAGCCACGTCCCAAGCCATGGAGCACAATGCTCTATTCTATTGTTGCCTCAAGGAAGAAGGCAGCCCAAATGAGTTATGTGGTACATTTATATTATTACAATGAGGATAAAAATGGATTCACCCAGCATCTGCCCAACTATGGTCGCTCCACAAGCACTTGTTCTATTGCAGAGAGGAAAATAATTTCTTTTTCCTGTCCAGAAATGACAATCATTATTTCAGCAAGCTGCCACAGAGGGTGCCGAACCCAGGTGTACACAAGAGTTTCTGTGTCTCACTGAACTCATGTTGTCTACCAGAATGTGCATAGAGTTACTATATTATATTCTACCCACAGAGTGGTTCCACAGTAAGGCAGACAATGTGAAACGTCTTTAAAGATGTTTATTCTCTGTGCTTAAAAAAAGAAATCTGGTTTTAACTCCTAAAGAGGGAATATTAATTTCAATTGCCTTGGCACTTAGCAGACAGGGTGCTTGTTTTGCTCCGAATCCAGCTGTCACCAATTCCTGAGGGGTCTATTACATACTCCACAGAGGGACGTGCGCTGTTTTCTCAAGGCTAATAAAGAACCATCTGCTCCCCTGCATGGCACGGGAAATGGCCAGGGCTTTTCCTGCAGGATGCGAAACACGGAATCAAAGCCAACAGTCATGGAGGGGAACGCCTCTGTCCCCCAGGTGTGTCTTCATTCTAATGCCACGAGTTGATTTTCCTCTTGGCCAAAACCTCCTGGTTGTTACTGTTCCCAAACAAGGGCTCTTTCAGGATTATTATGCAACTCGGAGAAATTCTCTACCAATGTGTTTCATTTCCTTCTACCGCAAAATCTCACAGAACAAATGGCCACTTATTTAAACATTGATGGTAATGCTTAGAAATTCTTCCAACTTGTTGTACCTTGAAGAACTATCATGGAATTTCAAGAAAGCAAAGTACAGAGCTGTGCAATCTGGGAAACCTCTGAGTATCCCCAGATACTTCACAAGAGTATCAAGTGCTGACATCCCCTTCCTGGGATGAGCAGGACCTGTTTCCTGGGATCACCTCCTTTTGCCTTCTTCTAAAAACAGAGGACAAGAAGCAAGGGCAAGAGAGATCCAGAAGATGGCAGCCTCTCAACCTCTTGGGAGAGTCAACTCGCTCTAAGATTCTCAACATGGAACAAGAAATTGCATGGTATTTGTCTAAACAAAGAACTGAAACAAATGGTTTTCTGGCTCTCAGCATATAGACTCCTGAATAAGAGACCCAAAAGGACACTGCTATGTGCCACAGTGACCACAGAGGTACAGGCTGAGTAGGAAGTGAGATGTGGGATCTACAGGAAGTGGTACACGGAACCTGAGACCTTGATTTGGTGTCTGGACCTGCTAGGACTCAGGAAGGGAACTGCTGCTCTCTGTGAAGGCCACACTGATTGCCACTGGTTAAGTACTTTGTCACTTAAATCCACCAGGTCAAATATTTCTGATATTTTCACCAAGACAATCGATTGTTACTATTTAATACCTGTTGTTCTGAAAAAGGACAGATATTGATTCCCATTCTAGGAACATACTCCACTATTGGAATGAGAACCCAGAAGAGGACTTCAAGTGTTGAGACCAAGCACACTTGAGGTGTCAGCATTTCAGTATATACCTTTCACCCGGTTTCTTATTGTGTTAGTGCCTCTTTCATGTACTTTAAGATGAATCACTGGCTTCTTTTTGGAAGACCATGAAGCACATGCCTGGTGCTTTCCCACTTTTTGGTCCCAGAAAGTCTCCAGCACACTTATTCCTCAAGGGCATGAGCTTGCAGTGTTACCTGTCTGACTGCTGGGGCTTCTTGCCCCGCTGGGGCAAGATTGCTATGTGCTTCTGCTGCTCTGGGCTTTTACAGGGAAATGCAAAGTGTCAGGGGGGTTGGAAGCTGCCTTGCTGTTTGTCCAAGCTGTTACTATACACGTTAGGTTACATAATCTCTGCGTGGAATCTCAGTTCTTGGTAGCCTTGGTGCTATTCTGAAGTAGATTCTGGAAGTGATGGAGAACACAGTTAAATCTGTGTGTTGAGAACAACCTGACATGGTCTCTACTGTTGAAGGAAACCATCTCTTCTGAAACACTCGAACCCTGGACCACAAAGTACACTGACACAGGCTGTGACTACCATATGCTGCTTGTTGACACTGTGGAATTTTCTGGAACCAAGATGTAAAATCTTGCACAATATCTATGTATGAAGAAAACAGACAAAAGTTCCCAGCGAGTAACTGTCTGTAGCTCTTAATGTGTTCAGAATTTGATAACCACAGAGTCAAAGAATTAAACTTCAGATATTGAACCTCCATGCTATGCAAGTTCTTGAATGCTGGGTCTGTTGGCAAGAGGCATAGGCCTTAATCCCAGTGGTCTGGGAGGCAGAGGCAGGATGATGGCAAGTTCAAGCCCACCCAGGGAACTTAGCAACTCTGTGAGACCCTGCCTTGAAATAAGATATACAAGTGGACTTGGACATGGCTCAGTGCAATTCCTCAATTTTAAAAACTACATGTGAGATTTGCCAGTAGGACCAGGGAAAGGCACATTCACAGCTATGCCCCAGTGCCTGGAGCCTGTGACACAAACTCTGTACTCAATAAATTTCTATTAAACACATGAACTGATGTCCCTGTTTGAATGAAAAGGGACTAAATTACTGTTTATCAGTTCATACACAAATACTGCCCAGTGCCAGTGCCGAAAGGATGGTCCTTTTCTCTCACCCCCAAAACACACTGGATGAGATTTTGTGGAAGGATTAATTCACTGCAATTTCCCATAGTAATTAAGCATCTACTATGCACCAGACTGTGCTAACAGCCTAGGTATCATGAAGACAGTTGACAAAGAGTGTAACGGAGAGCTCGGAGTGCCATGTCAATCGTCACCTTTATAGACTGGCTGCTGGGTGGTAAATACAGGAGCCCAAGAAATGCAAACCATCTCTATGGCTGTTCTGCTATGCGCTGAAGGAAAGCCCATCCACCGCCGGCCCTCCTCTGGTCAGTCTCCCCACCAGAGCTTCTTCGCTGCCTGCCTCTCCTGCATTCCCCATGATGACACACGGCTCACCTCCACACCTCTCTACCGCCTCATGGGTTGTTCTTTGTAATATCTCATCACACTCAGCACATTTCCCAAAGGAGCCTGCTAAGCTTCACCCCAACCATCATCGAGGGTAAGCACTGACAAGTACAACCGCCCACTCCTGATCACCTGGCTCTCAGTAACATCTCCAAGGCCATCCTGTGGGGACCACAGAAACTACCCACAATGCTGGGAGGGCACAGTGCAATGGGAAGATCAGGTTTCTGCTGGGGCAGATTTTTGCCATAAACACTAAGCACAGCAAGTGTCTTTACAAAGCACTGTTGTTAGCTCAATTTCCAGATCTGTGGATGACATCTGATGGGGCTGTCTGCATGTGCATGGTACTGACTTGCTGGGCCCCTGGGCCCAGAGGCTGCACAGATGAGATGCCATCTCTGATCTTTGATCTTAGTCCCTAGGCAAAGAGCCCAGGGTTGGGGCTGAGCGGTCAGCTGCAGCTGTTCTTTCTGAAGCCCATGCGAATGAACGCTGTACTGGACACTGGCAGCAGCCTCACTAATCCTGCCTGGAAGGATATGGCCACAGGAGGAAAGGCACACTTTACCTGCTGACGCTTTTCAAACTCCAGCTTGATCCGGGACTTGATGCAGTTGCATGTGTCCTGATAGGTCTGCTGCAGAGCCAGTTCCATGAGGTGCTTGTGGTAGGCCCCTGCCAGATTCCCGCAGATGAAAATGATCACATTGGCCAGGATCTAAAGAGACAGAAAGAGCCTCTCAATAGGACACACTTCTAACTGACGTACACTATAAAGCAAGAGGTGTAAGAGCAACACTTTTAAGATCATGGCTGCAGGAAGCTCCCTGGATGTCTGTCTCAGACCAGCACTCTTGTTGGTCTAACAGGAAGCATGAGCCCCCTTTGGAATTGTGTCCCCTCCTGAGTCTCAGGTAGGGATCCACGCCCTTCAATAGGCCACTGTGGCACCACTGCCCTGACTTTGGGCTCAGCAAGTGTAGAATTCATTTTGTTCTGGCAACTGCAGTGTGGACAGAAGGAATTAGGAAACATGGTGGCTTTCTTTTTATTGTCTTATCAGGAGAAAACCAGCCCTGGCTCTCCCGCTGGTCCAAGGGCAAAAGACACATAGAACACAGCCCAGTGTCTCAGTGTGTAAGGCTGAGATTTCTAGGTTGTTACACATCATGATTGTGACAATTGATGACAAATACATGCTACCTTCACATCAGAACCGTATATAAAGCCTGGACATCTGACGTTCCACATTATCTTTTATCTACCGAGGAAAAGGCAGCCTTTCAGACATACAGCTCGCTATTCTTTTTGATAATAAAAACAATTTACGTTCACAAATATTTGGGGAAGATGAGTATTAAAAAATCTAACTAGAACCCTGATCTTCCTGCCCAAGAAGACATTCTATTGCCCATACTGTGGGCCCATCCATTTTGTCTTTCTCTATTAAAACTGCTGAAACACTTGGTTTTGTTATCTTGTTCCAAAAGATCAGGGTTCATTCCAACTATAGTTTTATACTTTGCTTTACATTTACCATATAATCAAAAAATTGAGATCATATAAATTCAATGGAAACAGTATTTTGAATGCTTAGGTAATATTCAGCCTATGAATGTCAACATATAGCTGTCTCGGGTGCTTGCTGTTAGCGCTAAGAATTTGCCTATCAATACTCATATCGTGCACAAATTTTGCCTTCCTCTTTGATCATTTCTCTAGACTCAATAAAAAGCATGCACATTTTGAATTTGCTGACATGTGTTGCAGAAGTTTGCTTAGGGAATATTCCTTTCATGTTCTCACCACAAGGCATGCCAATGGTCTTTCCAGTGTGTGCTAATATATAGCACACAACTCCTACAGAGTGAGAATCCTGAGCTCAGGGCTGCACCGACAGATCAGCTGGGGGATGGACAGATGTGAATACCCACCCTCTCTTCCACATGACCATAATTCTAACCCACCTAGATCACTCATGGCCTCAATCGCAAGGCCGCAGCTCCATTTCCAAAGGCCCTGTGACTCTCAGTAAGCACGTCTACCATTACAGATCAATTCCCCCCATCAATCCCCTGACTCACTGGCAGGAACAGGTGGGAGATTTACTCCCAAGTCTTCAAGCTTCCCTGGGATGGAATTACCCAGAAAAACCACCATTGCTCCCTCTGCATATGGGGTCACATCTCCAACAGTGACGGGGGTTCATCCAATTGGAGAGTCTGAGAGAAGGATGTGGACACGGGGCCCCTTAGCTCCTTCCTCACTCTCTCAGGGTCGTCCTCCCTGATGAGGCTGGTGGTCTTTAAGTGTGGCCCTCACAGCCCAGACATGAATCTGACCACTCTGTCTGAGTGCTGGCAGAGGCAGGGAAGATGCGTTAGCACAGGAGACATTAGCACAACTAACCACATTCTCCAAACAACTACAGCAGTAATGAAGGTGGGAAGGGGTCTTCATCTGCCTGGTACTCCCTCTCTCTACACAGGTTCTAGACTCCCACGAAGAAAGGGATAGCCAATCCCGAGCCCCACAAAGTCCTAATAAATGCACGTTGGGAACGGACTACAAAGCAGACAAGCATTAGAAATGGAAAGGAGCATGTGATGACTCTCTCTGAGTCGATCCAGATACCTAAGAAAAGTGGGTCAAGAACCGTGCAGCTTAGACGTGGCCCTTGGTACTGCCCATGTAACTCATGCATTCCACAGATATGGTCACTCTGTCACCTCAGTCCCAAACATCCTTCCACGGACGCATATTTTATCTCCCCTCCATTTGCCTAGATGATTAAAACATCATCTTCTTGGGTATTCTTCTGTGTGTGTAGTATTTGAGTGTGGTACAGGCATACCATATGCATGCAAGTATGTGAATTGTGTGATACACATGTGTGGTGCAACCCATGTGATTTGCATGTCCGGTTTGTATTCCTGAGTACCACATGTGCTTTGGGTGTGTCTAGGCATATAATCTGTGCTGTGTGCAGGAGGCATGTGTGCTTAGAATCCTGAGCGTGTGCAGCTGGAAGCGATGCTACAGCCTTCTGTGTGAGATCCGCACACGCCTGGCCTGCAGGGGGCGCTCTTCTTCCTCATGTGCACGCTGACACCTCTATGACTGTCAACCCTGGAAGTTCCAGGGCAGGTGGGAAGTCCTGGGGACCTTCCTGGCTCCTATTTGAGGAGATCCTCCTCCAGCTGAATTGAGGTTGATTTTGGCACAGTTTGATGCTGCTAATTAAGTCCTGCCCCGCTTAGTTTTTGCCAAAGGACCATCTGGTTTGCTGAAGATGCTTCAGATCTTGTCATTGCCTGGCGGACTTGCTTTGAAGAACAAGGCCCCAAGGAATGCAAGAAATGAGAAAAGTAGATGCAAATCACACTGTTCACAATTAGAAAATACTCTTTCCTTATTAAGTGCAGCTGAGACAATAATAAAAATAACTCTGTGATTGTCCACAAGAGCCTTTAGGCTTCTTCATCAAAAATGCCTTAAAAGCAAAAATGTCAACACTTAAGAAAATAAATGTCTCCAAAGTGGGAGCCAAGGGAAAGCATCAGAGCAGAAGGAAGCCAGCCGTCCCCCACCTCCCAGCAGGAAGTGTGGATTCAGCACTGCACAGAAATGCCCCGGGGCACTGCTCCAGCCTCCTGGATAAGAAAGCCTGGTTTCCCCCATTTCTTCCCAGGATTCTGCTCCCCATTTCCTTCCTCTGAATCCCCTAGTCCAGATCAGGAGGGCAGTGCCCTTGTCTAACTGGGGAATTGGATGCTCTGCCCTGTAGCCCCCCGAGGATGTCAGGAGAGACTCAGCTGCTTTACAGGGATCATCAGCTCAAGCTCTGGGCTGCGGCCCCAGCATCCAGAATGGTTTAAACAGGTTTTGAGAAGCCTGCATCAGAAACACTGGCCTCAGCATCCTGGCTCTTTCCCTTATTACTGTAGCTTTCTCCTTCACAGCAGGGAAGCTGCTTTTGTGCCCAAACCCTCACTGCAGAATCAGGTCAAGGTGGGCCACAGCGACTCAGGGGCCTCACTCACATCACAAAATGCTGACAGTCGAGCATCTCTAGTCTACTAAAAAGGACCCACCCCCAACTTCCACAAGGATGCCTGTCTCTCCAAAGAGAAGAGTGGCTTCTCTGCTTCCTGCCTATCTTCTGGCCAATATTCTTAAACCAACACATGCCAGTGGGACATCTGTCTTGTCATGGAACTTGAATGAAAACCTTGATCCATTCATTCTGGATACTTTGAACTACATGGAGTTTCAATCTTTCCTGGCTATTGACAATTGGGAAAAAACGTATTTACTGAGTTTTATATTGAAAGGAAAAGCTTACAAAATAGCCAAGTAAAATATTGGATTTCTTTTCTAATGGAAGACTTCAAAATTACAAGCACTTTTCTGATTCCTCGTTTCACATTACAATTCTATATGCAAAAGTGAACAGGATTATTATTTTATAGCAAAATACATTTCCAAATATGACTGATGTCCTAAAACATTTTTCTTTCAAAATGATGCATTCATATGACTTTATATGAAACCCGGAGTGTAGAGGAAGTGATTTTAGGTTAACATTTTCTTTTCAAAAATAAAGCAAAAGCATTTTATTTTCTGGAAGACTGTGAAAGTGGACTGCATGATTTAAAAAATCTTATTTTCACAATGTTGGATTTGTTTTATAACATCATGCTGTCCTGATGTCTTCTTTTATCTTGTTGCTTCATTTAGCTTCTCTCACATCTGTGGGAAAACAGGAGAGGGAACTTGGCCTCCCACGAGAAAACAAATTGTTTAAGACAATAACACCAGTCAAGGTTTACCCTAAGGATTCAACCCAGCTTTGGAACTGCGCATAGCATGATCTACAATCTGAGCAAATCAAACTGTGACAGGACATTGTCACACAAGCCTGGCTGTCCACTCCATTCCCCAGCTTCCCGTCTTTGCTTGATAGAAAAGTGGAGAAATTTGTCAACACTTCTCAGTGATTCTTAGGGCAGGCATACCATCAAACTCTGTGCTGGTGGGAAGGCCAGTGGCTACCAGCAAGATTGGATGGATTTCATTTTTTTCCCTAGGAGTCATCAATGCTCTTCCAAATATACTTTTTATTTTTTCCTCTTTGCAAGAGTGCACAACACAATATAACCTGGAAGACTGACACATTTTACTATTTTACCTTAGAGTCAGGGAAGCAAAGATCCAAACAATTAAGGACCCAAGAGCAGAATCCAGGTCAAGCTCCTGAGGTGACCCCCATTCCACTTATTCCCCCTAACTCATATGCTTCAGGTCAGGTTTGCCTGGAGCACCAAGACTCCAGCTAGCACGGGCAAAGGTATTTCTGCAGAATTTCTAGACACATGCTGCTTTGTAAGAAGTTAACGTTTTTCCTTTATGTTATAAAACACTGGTATATTATACTTTCAAGGGTGTCCATCACTTAGTTATTTTAAATGGCTACGATTTGAAGACCACCTGCCCATGTGGCCCTTGACTGCTTCAGCCTACATGTCTCTGCTCATTCAGAAGAAAGGAATGAGAATGTCACCAGACCATTTGGCTCACAGGTGGCTGAACTGAGACTAGGACACCCGGGAAGCGAACATCTGCAGGGCCCTAGGTCACTATTTTTTAAGAAATGTACCACATGAGCTGGGTAATGGCCCAGATCTCTTATGACTCTGAGATACTCCATATTTTAAA